CACTCCGAACGGCGTAAATTCACAAACGAACATAACACGAGATTAAATGTGTGTGATTCGGTGGTAGGAGATAATTAATTGGATAATTGATTTATTCGAATTTTATTTAAAAATATATGGATATCGCGCGCCTGCACTAGAACGAAAAAATAGTAAAATGAGAATCGTAATGAAAAAAATATTTATAAGGGCTGCAATTAAGAATTAGGTGTTCCTCAAGGCTTTGTCTTCGGGTCAAGATATATTAGAAATAGATCGAGATTATATATAAGAAAAATTTAAAAGCATATATTAAGTTAAGTAATTGTAGTCCAACTTCAAATCAAATTGGTGTCAGTTTTTTTTGCTATTGCCGTTTAACATCGCAGTGCCCGAATACGTTATTAGAAATCGTGTACATTAGACTGGAATTTCGAAGTCACCAACTTAAATATTAAATTTTTAAAATAAACTTATCAAATTTAAATCCAAATCAATTACATTTCCCATCCCCTCATTTTCACGATTTCCCTTTTTCCCCACCAGTATCCGATTTCACTTCATCCCTTTGTGGCTGCCACTACTACTATTCGCCAAATGAACGAATGAACAAGTGAATGAATGTATGTATGAAAATCTCAAGGGAATTTCATTTCAAAGGCTAGAACAAGGCGGTCCCGGAGGATTTTTCCCGGAGAATCCTCCAGGGATCTAAATGTAACGCCCGGCCGAGAAATTGCTCTCTTTTGATAATAGAAATAGGGTAATTAATGGGATTGATAGAATTATAAAACAAAATTATGTAATTGATAGAATTGTTTCTGATATGATGTCCTAACTAGTGGTGTATGGCATCGTGCCTTAAGGCAAATAGCTGGGACTTCCCGTACCGTAATGAAATATTCGAGAGATTTCAAACTTTTTCAAATATATTATTACAAATACTGTAACTTTCATTATTTTTCCTATAATGTTATATCTGAGCAAATAAAATCGTGAATCCATTTATCTCCAGAACATTAACAATCGTCATTTCATTTCGAATTTAACTTAAAAAAGAAACTAGTGGGGCGCATGGCGTCGTGCCTTACGGCAAATTGCTGGAACTTTCCGTATCTTAATTAAACATTCGAGGAATGAAAATAATTAATAATTAATTTGAAGATTTTCAAATAGATTATTTATTATAAATACATACTCTAAATTTATAAGTGCTTTTTAAATTGGGTGATGAGCGTATTTTACAAACTTACGTATGTGGACGTATATAAGAGTCCATTTTTTTAAAATTGGATTTTTTTTGATAATTTAGAAATTTTTTGATAATTTAAAAATTTTTTCAAAATTTGTGAATTTTTTCATAATTGAGAATTTTTTTTCAAAGTTTAAAATTGTTTGGAATTGAAACAAAACGTTTTTTTTAAATATTTTGAGAATTTGGATATTTTTGAAAATATTCGATTCTTTTAATTTTCGAAATATTCTCAAATTTTTGTAGGGAATAAATCATTTTAAATTTTTTGAAATTTAGTCTTTTTTTTAAATGAAAAATTTCGAAAATTTGAATTTTTTGAAACTTGGAATTTTTTTTAAGTTTTGATTTTTTTTTTAATTTCCAAAATCACTAAATTTTCTAATTATTAATCTAATCGGATTAAAGATCTCTCAAAAACTGCATCACCGTTTTTACACCCTTTATGCTCCATACCTCCGATATGGCAAAATTGCCTTTTGCAAAAACGATCGAGTACGAACCGAATGATTTTTCAATCATTCAAATCGGTTATTCCTTACTCTGACATTTGTTTGAACCATCTAAAAAAAACTTGAAAATTAACAATCTTGGTACGAAACCCAAAAAAATTTACACAAAATGTGTACATAGTATTAAGATCTTTATAAAATATCTGATAATTTGATGTACATATGTCCAATAAACATTTTTGATTGTCAAATGACATTTTTTTGAATTATTTTTATTGATAGTCCATAACCGCTAGACCGCCTAAACCGCCTTCTCAAAAATTTTACCAGTTGTTCATTTCGTCAATACAAGTAAAATGTTTTTCGAATTATTAAAATTGGACGCTCCGTTCTCTTAAAAACTGATTTACCGTTTTCGGCACTTTTTGCCCCGTATCTTAGGAACGGCTAGACCTGCCTCCGCCAAAAACTAATCAGCACGTCTCCTTATCAATAAGAATCGAATGCTAAATTTGTATCCGCACACACACACATACACACACATACATCAATTTTTTCTAAGGTATGCCAAAATATTCAGAAACCTCTGAAACGTAAAGATATATAAAACATTTTCATTTTCGATTTTTTTGCGATTACTACAACTTGCCCTACGGGAAGTTAAAAAAATTACGAAAAGATTTTATGGAAAATAAAAAAAGATGTAATAATTTTTTATCCTCAATTGTTTTGTCAATACAAGCAGAAAGTGTTTTTAGATCATTCAATTTGGAAGCTTAGTTCACTCAAAAACTGCCATTTTTAGCTCTGTATCTTCGAAATGGCGGGACCTGCCTTTGCCAAAAAACTAATCACCTCTTCTCCTTTCTATTACAATTTTCTATAACCATTATTTTTCTACTTACAGGGATGCGTCGCAGCAAAAGGGTAATCCAATCCCGCCAACCTGGTGCCGCCGAGCAACCCGGCGGCGGCGCTGGCGCTCATCGGAGGCACCGCCAAGTGTTGTCCGTGATGGTGATGGTGGTGAGGATGGGAACCCAAGTGGGATCCCAGGCCTGGTCCCGCCGAAGACGGTACGGAACCCGCAGTGGCGCCCGGGACGGCGGTGCCTCCGATGCCGCTGGTCGGAGGCGGCGGCGGACACTGGTAGCAGAACATGCTGGCACGCGATAACTGAAAAATAGAGGTAAGTCGTAATATAATTGTAATGGATGTGTATATATATATATATATATATATATATATATATAAAATTCTTCTGTAACTATGTATGAATGGTTAATCCTCCTAAACTATAATTCGGATTATCATGAATCTACCAGAAGTTTGTTCGGGAAATTTTCTAGAATTTTTAGATTCATAGAAATATAGTTGGATTGTAGAAATAAACGGAAAAAATTACAAAAAACCGCATATCATTGTTTGCCTTTGAAAATATTTAAGGCATGGTTTGACATTAAAACAAATGAAGACTGTCATTTGCCAAACATTTCCATTCGCTTATAGGCTAAGACAATATTAAAATATAATATATTTATGATTATGAATAAGAAAAATGTAATAACAACATTATTGTTGCCAAAAAGCAGCTGAGATGTGCCAAAAATTAAAATTAATAATATAAGATTTACCGTCAACATGCGTCTGACAGGTGATGCAGTCTGCGCATGCGTCTGTCAGTGACCGCACACGAAACTTAGCCTATAATTCACTTTGACTGATTATTATTTTTTAACTTTTAAATGCAGTCGTGTTTTGCCTTACTTTACTAAATCACGATACAAAAATAATTTACTTATTCAAACAATTATTTAGAAGTTTCATTGTGTCAAAAATTCATATGTTTGGCATTGGATACGAAATATTTACTCAAGACAATGGAGCATTTTGGGTCTGAATATCTTTAATGTGCTCCAATTTGCATGAAATTTTGGAATTAGGTTCATCTTACTCTCAAGTTTAAAAGTAAAAATAATTTAGAATCATTTGCCACTTCCCGGGGGATGACATCTCTTTTCAGTGGTGCAATTGTATCTCTTTCAAACTAACGTCGGATATCGATAAAAGAACTAATTAGAAGAGAAAAATGTTCAATAATGTTTTTCAAAAAAGAAATTACTTTTCAAGTTACTGGCTACTGAAAATTTGTTGTTTTTTGCGTTTTTCATCGTTTTTTTTGCAAATATTTCTAAAAATATACATTTAAACGAAAATTATTTAATGAACAAAATTATATCAATTAAAATCCTAATAAATCGCTGTTCTATAAATTGTTCTAGAAACAATATTAGGCTAGATATGAAAATGGGGTTTTATAGTATCCAAATAAGCTTTAAAATGAGTACTTCTGCGTGTAAAATGAGTGAGCCATCATGCAGATAAAAGACGCATATAATGTTTTTTTTTTCATTCAAAGCAAATAGTTTTTGAGTGCCATTTCCACCAAAATTAAAAATAATCGTATTCTCTCTAGAATCAACTTGGTTTAAGAGATCTTGACGGATTCTAGAAAATGCCATAACTTTAGTGCAAACAATTTTCAAAAAGCTCATGAATTTGTTATACCTTTAAAAAGATTTCAATTTTCAACACGTGTGTATTATGCTATGACCATAAATCATAAAGGCAGACGATGATTTTTTGTGTGATAAATTTGGAAAATCAATGTTTTAGTCGTGAATAAACAAAAAATCATTTATTTATACATCCACATCTACAGGTATGACTAAAAAATCGTATAACCCTTGGAAGTGTATAATTTTTAATATACAATTTTATTGAACATTTTTTAATATTTGTTAAATGTATAATTAAAGTGTTAACTGTGGGAATTGAGAATAATCATTTTATTTTAAACAGTTCTACATTCAGCATTACTCATATATTGGTGTAATTAGTAATTCGAAAAACAATAATTATTATTTTTAACTGAACGGTATAAATATTAGTATAGAATATTAAAAAAAACGTAGATGTGGGTACAGGACAACGTCTGTCGGGTCATCTAATATAGATATAAATATATAAATATTGTTTTTGTATCAATAAAACCTATAGCTACTGTATCTTCATTTGTACGCGACATGAGTGTGTTATTTTTTTACGATAATCGTAGGAGTAAATACGATTATTCCATGTCTCTTTATCCTTTATTGAATTAGCTCAGCGGACGCTATCTATCTAAATAGCTTGCTAAATAAACTAATATTTAATAATTTACACTTGAACCGAGCAGCACAGTGTTAGTGTAAGTGCGCTAAGTGCTGTAAGTGCTAAATTTATTATTGTGGGCGACGCGAATCGCGTGGGCCCGACGCAGAATTGACACTTTATTGCATTAACGAATCGACTACAGGACCGAATTTAGGGATAGTAAAATGTGTCAAAATTGGACCGCGTACTGGTCCTTGAGGAATGCCAGTATTGAATGATAAAATTATATCTTATATATAAAAATGGAGCTCTCGATACAATGATCCGCTAAAACTCGATAACGGCTAAACCGATTTGGCCAGTCTTAGTCTTGAAAAATTCAAGTCAATGAACAGTGGCTAATACGTCAAATGTCAAACGTTGTTCAATTACGTTCAATAGGATGTCTTACGTGAATATTATTTAATTATGATTGAATTGTAGTAAGTAGTTTTGTTTGTAGTTTCAAAAAACGTTATTAAACGGATCGCAAGTATTACTAGAAACTCAAAATATTTTTGGATTTCAACAATTTTTGAAATGTTAATATGAAAATGCATTTTTTGGAGTTGTGGCACTCTTTTTTTGCAAATCATATTTTTCTCAAAGACGATGCTTTGAAAGATCTTATTTGTATAATTATATACTCATTGGTATTTATAAAACATTTTCTAGGTTATATTATTTTTTATTTATTTTGTTTAATTTCAGAACTTAAATTTGGAATTAATCAAAGGGATATTTTGTTGAATAACTTATTCCCAGTTATAATTTCCCAGAATTTATCGAAGAATGGTTAGTAGTATATGAAAGTCCGGGGTTAAAAGGGTCCACTACCGATGCGTCAAAAACCAGTAAACTTAAGCATTGTTCAAGAACAATATTTGAAAGTAGAGGGAAAATAATGTATAACCAGCTATAATAACCTTCTTTTCTCTTGTTAGATTGCTCGTGAGTAGAGTTCTCTTTTATCTTGTCCTTCAGTTTGCTCGTCAGTAAAGTCCTCTTTTTATCCTCTGTTAGTTTGCTCGTCAGTAGAGTCCTCTTTTTATCTTGTACGACAATTTGCTGACCTATTTTTATTTTCAATGTCACTTTGCTCGTTGGCAGAGTTCTCTTTTTATCTTTTTTGTCAGCTTGCTTGTTAGTAGAGCCGTTTTTTTATTTTCTGTCAGTCAGCTCGTCAGTAGAGTACTGTTTTTGTCCCCTATGTTAGTTTTCTCATTAGTAGAATCTTCTTTTCATGTTTTTTGTCAGTAGAGTCTTCTTTTTATCTTCTTTGTCAGTTTGCTCGTCAGTAGAGTCCTCTTTTTATTTTCTACGCTAGTTTGCTCATTAGTAGATTCTTTTTGTTATCTTTTATGTCAATTTGCTAAGCCAATAGAGTCCTCCTTTTATCATCTTTGTCACTTTGCTCGTCAGTAGAGTCCTCTTTTTATCTTCTTTGTCAATTTGCTCGTCAGTAGAGTCCTCTTTTTATCTTCTGCGTAAGTTTGCTCGTCAGTAGAGTCCTTTTTTATCTTATAGGTTTTTATATAGTTTGCTCGTTAGCGGAATCGTTTTTTTTTTCAATTTATGTCCAAACCTCAGTTCGACTGTTAATAGTGTTTCTTTTCTTAGATTCCATGTTTCTGATTCGTACAGAGTCATGCTCATAATGTAGATGTAAAGCAACTACATACATTTTAAATTTTATAATTACTCCTAAGCTGTTTATTTATTTATTTTCTATTTTCTTTTTTGATATTAAAAATTCTAGAACCTGATGATGACGTAGAATTGTACGTCGAAACGTATGGAATGTTGTAAAAATCTTTATTTCAATTTTTTTCACTTGGTGCTACATTCTCCAAGAAATATTTTGTACGTGTGTATGAATTCCTCCTAAACGGTCAGTCCAATTTCGATAAAACATTTTGTTTTTGTCTGACAGTATTCAAGAATGGCATTGAATCCTCTTGGTCCACTCGCGAATAAAATCTAATTTGTTAATGTTTAAAATAATAAATCCTAACGAATCTTCTATCCCCTCCCCCCTCGGTTAATTCATTTCCCCCGCAAAGGGTGGAATGTGGGGAATGTGGCCCCCTCTTAAAATTCAACGTTGTAAAGTGGTTTGAAACGCATTAAAAATTCATAAAGATCCTCTTTAGTCGATGTTACTACGATTGCATAATATAACAACCTCACTCGCATCCTCTCACCCTGCCCTCTCTCTTTTCCCCCGGCCTTTCGTTGGCGCCGCCATCTGGCATTAGATTAACGTACTGAAAATAGGATTACGGACGCTAATAAACTGGATTAAAACTGCGCTATCCGTTGACTACACCTATCCTATCTACTAGCTCCATATACTATAACATACGACGAATATGGATATATATATACCAAAATATATATATATATACGTTTCGGTATGTGTGAATCTGTGTCATCACTCATTTTCAACTTTTTTTAATAAGAATGTTTAGATACGTGCCGGTTGTCATAGCACGATCATAACATTATTAAATATGAGATAGGTTATGTATATATATATATATATATATATATATATATATATATATATATTAGTTGCACAGACACATGTATATATATATATATATATATATATATATATATCGTACAAGTGTATCTGTGCAACTAATCAAGGATGTCCTATTTATATTAAGTTATAAAACAGAGCTTCCTAAACGAAAACAACTACTCGAAACATAATTATAGCAATTTATAACACACACGAAAGTAGTGGACGTACTCTTGTAAAAACGTACTTTTGCTACAACTACAACAAATTACACACTTATATATAATATATTAAATAAATGTAATAAGTGTAAAAATTGTTTATTTTTGTATAAACCACAAAGTACAGATTTATCAGGACTAAATATGCTCCCTTGCGGCACTCCAATACTCATCTTATAGCGATTACATTTTACAAAACTTTGTATTAAAATATTATGTTGAGATATAAAATTTGTTGATTTTATTTTTTATTATCATAGTAGACATATTGACGTGTGACATATTATAATGACAACTTCTTAGTGCTAACAGTACGTCCTGAGGAGCTCCTCAAAGATGACGTCAATGAATAAATGTCAAAAAATTTATCAGTAGTGGATGTACTATTGCAAAAACACACTTCATCTACTATAAACTATAAAAAATTACACACTTATATATGAAATATATAATATATAAAATAAATGTAATAAGTATGAAATTTATACAGGACTAAATACGCTCCCTTGCGGTACTCCAATGCTTATTTTACAGCGATTACCTTTTACAAATCTTTGTATTAAAATATCATGTTGAGATATAAAATTTGTAGATTTTTTTTTTTTTAATTATAGTAGACATATTGAAGTTTAACATATTGCAATGGCAACCCTCTAGTGCAAACAGCACGTCCTGAGGAGCTCGTCAAAAATGACATCAATAAATAAATGTAAACAAATTTATTTTGATACTTGAATAATAAGTATACATTTTGGTACTGGAATAATACAATGTATCTTGAATAATAAGTGTCAATTTCAACGAGCTCTACAGGTCGAACCGTTTGTGCTACAGTGATGTAATTTGGATATGTTATATTTTAATATATATACTATGACAACAAATACTCAAATCAATAAGTTTTCATACAAAATTTTGGAAATTTTGAATTTTGAATGAAATAAGTGCATATCGAATCCAGATCATTTAAGAGTCACTTTTGAAGAGCTCTGTAGGCTATACTGTTTGTGCTATAGTTCTGTAATTTGGGAATATCATACCTCAATTTATTTACTACGATATGACATAGTGAATTTAGTAACTTTTGATACTAATTTTTTTGAATTTTGAGCTTTGAATAAAAATCAGCATGCTCAGAGTGAATTTGCATGAGACTTAGTATGTTGATGCGTAATTTTCAAGAGTCAATTTCTACAAGCTCCTCAGGCTGTACTGGTTGCAACAGAGTTGTTTAATTTGTATATGTTGTGCTTCAATATATATATACTATGACAACATATACTAAAATCCATAATATTTCATACAAAAATCCAGACTTTTTGGCCGTTGAATAAAAATAAACACATGAAAAACTTGGTAAATAAGAATGAATTTTGACGAGCTCTTCAAGATGCACTGTTAGTACTAGATCGTTCTTATTTATGCAAATGATACTTCAATATGTCTACTTTGATAATACATACTAAATTTGATGACACTTCATACAAAATTTCATAATACAGGCTCTTGGATAAAAATGTGCAAAAATATTCTTGAACAAGGTAATTACGATTCAATTTTAATGAGCTCTTCAGGCTGTACTGTGCGCACCAAAAAGCTGTAATTCTAGTATGCGACACCTAAATAATTCAAGTGCATCCTGTCCCCCCCAATTCGGTCCTGTGTCCTCTGAAAAATCAGTTATTCCATTTGGCGTCGCTTCAGCGTCTACTTTATAAAAATACGTCTATCCGCCGTTTCATGTCGATTCCTACTAGTGAGATTCCTATTGGAATAAAAGAGGGATTCAATATATCACTACGATTCCTATGGGATTCCGATAGGAAGCCGGTCTTGGATATATCCAAAGATGATTCCTTTTGAACAAAAAGGCGAATCGAAACAAATAAGATGAAAATAAAACGATGAGGATCAGGTTAAAGGTGGAAATATGATGTGACCGATTTTTAGGATTATAGATTTTTAGTCAAAACTCAAAATTTCCAAAACTTCGTATCAAAAGTTATTAAATTTAGTACTTGTTGCCGTAGTAGATAAATTGATGTATGATATACTTTAATTTCAACATATTTGTGCACACGGTTTAGCCTGAACATCTCGTTGAAATTGACTCGTGATTACCTTGTTCCAGAATATTTTTGCATATCTATATATCTATTTTTATTTTTTTACCTTATTTCCTTCCGGGAACAATTTGGCGGCGGGTTCCGTACCCGCGCCGCCAGTCCAATCAAAGATGTTAAAAATTTTGGCAAAATTATTTTTGCAACTTGCACTTTTCGCGAAATTTTGCGAAAATCGTAGCACTGATTCACATGTAACTTTTGTTCATTGTCAACTAACTAACACTTTGGTAAACTATAAATGATAAATGGTAATTGTGAATTATATATATATATATATATATATATATATATATATATATATTAAGCATCCAATTATTTAAAGTAAAAAAAAACTAAAAATTAATCAGGTTTAAAACCAATATTAAGAAATGTTACATACGTTTTATTTTTCAAATAATTGAAAAAAATACACAATGATGACGTTATATTTATGATTTTTTTTTTGTGAGTAAAATTTTACACCTAATTTAGTTCTTTGAAACTTCGATTTGTTAATTTTATATTTTCTCGACGTTTCAAGTCATTCAAAATCGTTTGACACCGAGGTAGGCCAAATTTTAGTTCGACTAAACAGAAAGCTAAGTTTATAAATATTTGAGATTATTAAAGTACTTTCTAAATATTTATTTATTAATTTAACGATTAATATGAATAAAAATATCTATTAGTTTGTGTTATATAACACTTTTAGCATAAAACCTTTTAAAATATTGGTAATTTTTTTTGTTTGATAATAAACTTAGAAATTTATTAGAAATTTTGCACAATTTCATAGAACTTTAGATCAGAGATAATTTTTTGACATTCAATTTATTTATATAACAATTAAATTATTCTAAATATTTATTTTTTTGAGTTGAAGAACATTTTCATTAGCAAACGTATAAGTATATTTTTGACGTTTAAAATAAATTTATTTTATAAGTTGTGCGTTTTTTTTTAATTTCCATAATTAAAATAACATTTTAAATATTCATTTTATTTATTTAGCAAATCAAATAATTAAAATTTATATTATTGTGTTATATATCGTAGTTTTTATATGAAACCTATAGGCACCTATAAGAAAAATTTTCATTTTTGATCGTCAAGAGATTTTTCATCTTTTTCTTTTTTTTAAATTTAAGTTAATAACATAATATTTTAATCATATGAATTATTTAACCAACAAATTAAATATTTTAAAATTATGTATTATGTATGAGTAAATCAGTATGCACTTTGGGTTAATTTATTTTTTAAGTATAATTTTTTAATTTTAAATAAATTCATAAAAAAATTAACGTTTCTACATTTAAAATAATTCTTTTATGTAAAATAATGAATTTTAACAATATAATTAAAACAAATAAATAAATAAATAAAAATAATTCTTTTATGTAAAATAATAAGTTTTAACAATATAAATTAAAAATAAATTATAAATTAGATATTATTATCTATTACCACAAAATCTTTATGCAAAATTAAATTAATTAATAATTTTGTTAAAAAATTGCATTCTTTACGCACTTCGTAATTAAATACATACAATAAAAAAATAGACTGGTAAAACTAATATTTTGGAAAATTTTGAAAAATGTGCATATAGAAAAAAAGCACATTTTTTTGAAAAATTGCACATTCTTGAAAAATGTCGTCAGGACTATTATTTTAGCAAAAATTTAATTTGCTATCCCTATTTATGAATAATCATTTTATCATGAAAAATCTCATCCCAGAAAATAGGGCATACAAATATTTTGGTAAAGATATAACTATATAAATATTTTGGTAAAGATATAACTATATAAATATTTTGGTAAAGATATAACATTTAAGAAATGGCTTTCAAACTTCAAAAATTATTGGTTCAGCCATTTCCAAAAAAACTTCGGTAAAATTAAAGTCAGATATGGCTTACACATACTTTATATATAATCGGTATCAACCGATTCAGAATGACTTGAAACCTAGAGAAATATAAAATTTAGCGAGTTGGCTTTGTTGCAAAACTTCTCCTTCAATAAGTAATTATTTTAAATGAAAAATATTAGGATCACAAAAATAAGGGATTGCTTGACAAATATTTTGGTGAATTTAAAAAATTAAAGTCAAATATGACATATACACATATGTCATATTTGACTTATATGACTTTATTATGTAAAATCGGTGTCAAACGATTCAGAATGACTTGAAACGTCGAGAAATTTCGTCGCTTTTTAGCAAAAACAAAACTAAACTTCTTCAGAAAGATAATGAAGTAAATTTGAAATTTTTTAACTTGTATTAATATTTATTCAAAAACTTATAACTCATTTTGTAAATAAAATTTTTAAAATAAAACAACATATTTATAACTTCCCTCCCCCTATAAATTTTTAAAATAAAACAACATA